GACGGAGAGCAGACATCCAGCTCCTGCTCCACTAAGTGCTTGTGCTCTGAGACCCCCCACAGGGACTCCATACAACCAGGCACAAACTCTTGTTCTGGTCTGCTATTCTGCTCTCTGGACTGTTCATGGCCAGCTCTTCACTTTCTTCTGTGTCATGCTCTTGCTGCTCTTGTGACTCTTTACAGGGGTCCACAGATCTTCCCTGTCCTTGGTAGCTAGCCATTATTTGTGGTTACCACTAACCGCGGGTCAAGGGCACGGACAGAGGATTTGGGGGAGGGCTCTCATTCCTTATCAATATTGGGGGAATATGAGTTGTTTATAATAGCAGTTGGCATAAGGGTGCGATCACCTTTATATACAGAGGCTGCCACTTATCCAGAGTACCAGTAACAGACAAGCAGGCTGATATTAGTTTAAATCAAAGTCTTTTACTGTATTATATGCACATTCAGACATTACACAAACACACATACAATTATACAGGGCTAGGAAACTTAGAGAGATTGGGATAGCACAATCTCATTAGCAGGAGATTCGTTGGTTTGGCTATACGTTACCTGATCTGAAGAGATGAAGCTTGCCAAATGGAAAAATAAGGGAATACTAGAAAAATGGGGATTATGCTAGGAAAGGGGAGCGTGCAGACTGAACCAGCAGAAAGCACGTGGTAGGCCTTAGCTGCAGACTAAGAGCCTGGGGTAGGTTGGGTAGCAAGGTAGCTACTAGAATGAGAGTCAGAGTATATAGGTTGTTGAGGGGGTGTAGAGAGAAAGCAAGAGAGCGAGCACATAGCTGGGTGTCCCTTTTAAGAGGGGGGAGCTTGGGGGGTTGTGCCAGGCTGGTCACATGTCTTGGCCCACCTCCTACTAGTCCGTCCCAAAAACACACCTACTGGGTACAAAGAACCAGGGGAGGGGACAGGGAGTGGTCAATATTAAGAGCTAGTAACTTGGACTGGAGAGTGGCACCTGGATGAAGAGGGTATGAGTCATCGAGCTAGGGCTATTGTTTTTTGATGGGCTTAGTGGAGCCTGTTCATGGGCGAGAGATTAGTTTCCAAGCAACCATGTGTAGAACCTCTTGGTTACGTGCAGTCTTGCAGGTAGATGTATGGGTGCGGGGTGTGTGTGTGGGTTGCCTGCGTGTGTCAGAGGGAGCTCCTTATGGCGTTTGGAGCGCTTTTTTTCTGGTCTTCTCTCTGGGTTTACAGTGCGTCACACAGTGCGTCACATGGCTAGGGAGCTGGTCCATCCTTCAGCAGGCAAGAGGGCAGGTAACATCTAGGAACTCCTTTTTCAACTTACAGGAAAGCTCTCTGCTTTTGGGTGTGTGTCTAGCTGGTATCCTTTTTGGGTTACCACACAGTTCGATCCCTATTTGCACATGGCTTGCACAGTCCATTTTATCACGTATGGGTTATAAAGTCCATAAGAGCACATTAACTGTAGGGCAACATGTCCTCTGTGTTGTGTTTTGGAAGCATTCAGAATGTCTCACAAAGTTCAGTGCAGTCATGAACAAGTCCCTTTATTCTCCATTGAGGTCCAGGCTAGGGGCACAGGCAACAATTATCTTGGAATGCAGGATGAACTTGGGAAGTGTTATGAATGCCTCAGGGTTCAGTGTTGTCATGAAGGGAAAGGAGATTGTAAGCCGCTTCAGGTAGTGAAGGGTGGGGTATAAATCCAATCTCTTCTTCTCTCTTCTTCCTCTACAACTACTGGCCCTGAGTTAGAAGGGCCATCAAGACAGGAGGCATCCGTACAGGTAGACAGACCCCCCCCTTCTAGACCCACCACAGTCTCCCCCAGAACCTTGGGAAAGAATAAGACAAAGAGCCAGAGCAGAGGCCCTGAGCAAACACAGGAGCGTGTGCATGGCAGCCTGCAGTTGCTCTTCTTTTGTAGAAGCAGGGGCAGGACTCCCCTGATGAGTCCTTGCAGGATCCAGGCTGTGCTGCTCTTCAGGAGGAGGAAGGCTGACTCAGCTAAGAACAGTACCCAGCGGCACCTGGAAGGGCAACTGGCTACTTAAGCTGGCTGTGAGACCAGGGTCAGTGATGGATCATTGCGTGCGCATGCTAGTGGGTGATCCTGCCTCGGAACTGTGTCCCTGGGTTGGAGAACCTGTTGCCTGACCTTGGACTGGATCTGGACTCTGCTTCTTGGATTCCCCCCTGACTGTACTGCCTGCTTCTGAGAGGGAACTTTGGCTCGATATTGCATGTCTTGGACTTTTATTCTCGGACAGACCCCACTCCCTGTCTGTTGCCACGGCTGGGTTGAAGTGGTAGGCCTGGACCCACCCTTCCTGTAAGCAGGACAAGTGCAAAGTCAGAGAGCAGACCTTGGCCCTCTTCTGAGTTCTGGGCTTGAGAGTCAGGCAGGGCCTGACTTCCTCTAACGCACAGCATGAGGTCAGAGAGCTGGGAAGAAGTAGTGGGTGGAGGAGAGGGTGCATCACTGTAGCTCCATGGTGACCAAATACATCAATGTGGTTCTCTTACTTACCTTCCCTTTTAGACAGTATTGCTGGAGCCCCTCTTCAAACCTGAGTGGCAAAAGTGCACCCTGCCTTTCTGTGTCTTCCTGTGGTCCTTTAGTGAGCCTGGTTGGACCCAGCATAGCACAGGAAGGAGGATGAGGTTCCCTGACTTGGACAATGATATTGCAGTTTCATTGTGTGATTGGACATCCGTTTACAGGACATCAGAACGAGAGCTGCAAATTTGAAAGGTTTTCTGAATGAAGGCTTCAAAATTGCCTCCCCACTGTAAAGAGATTGGTGATTTTGGCTAGGCTTGTATAATAATAATAATACTTTCCATTTATTAATCGCTTTCCCCAGTGGGCTGTGGGTTGTTGACGAGAATTCTGTTTTAAGGTGTTGGAACAAGTCAACAGAGTGGACTCAGTGGTGAGCAAGCTTCTCTTTCAAAAACAAAATAACTAAGAGCCATTTAAGCCGTATGCCTGCTAACAGACTTTTAATGCTAGGTTTCTGGGTGGGGCGTGTCTGTGTTAAGTGCCATCTAATTGCTTCTGACTTATGGAGACCCAATGAATTAAGTACTGCCAAAATGTCCTGTCGTTAACAGCCTTGCTCAGGTGTCAGGTTTCTGGGTACCTGTCTGAAATAAAGTACCAAAAAAGAATCTATTTACTCTTTGCTGAGGGGTAGTTTAAGGGCTGTTCTATGTACTTTTTCTCCTTCACAGCACAGCTAGAGCAATCTTAATGTGGGTAGGAAAAACCAGAATAAATAGACATTCAAAAAGACATTTGAAAGTTCAAAAAGCAAAATTAAACAGAAGAACCAGAAATCTGCATTGCAGTTAAGAAAAAAGTTGCACAAGGTAAGGAAATGGAAGAAATGTGAACTTTTCTACACTAATTGGTGCCCAGCATAAATCTGGGCAGGCTTTTAGGGCTTACATGCTTTGCAGTTACTTCCTTAATTTGTTCAAAGCATCTTTTAAAACAGAGGCTGGTGCAAGGTGCTTCATTTGAACAAAGAAGACACAAGAAGTTGAGCCCTGTTGGCTGAACCTCCTGAAGAGCTGAGAGGGCTCAGAGAGCAGCCGTTAACCTTCTCACAAGCACACAAAAGACCAAGATCTGTTTAAGTCTCCTGCTGGACTGAAAATTTGTTCTTAGGACTGCCTGGCAAGCATGTCCTTTTAACTAATGCGAAAGCATTATTCCACCAATCACAAGCAGTAATGCAAATCTGGAACCAAGCATCAGTAAAAGACTAGATCTATTAGTCTGGTGAAAACAGACTACTTGTTTCTTCACACTCAACTAGGGGAAGGAAAGAGCGACATTAAAGCAATTAGCAACAAATACATTTAAGTTTGCACACTCACATATCCATAAATAGTGAAAACAAAAGCCACATAATACTTTTCATTAGGACCAACTAGAGATGTGAAGGCCCGGAAAAAAACCAGGAAAAAATTTTTTTTCCCCGTCTTTTTCCTGAAGCCTTTTTTGTTTTTTTTCTGAAAAATTAAAAAAAGAAAAGAAAAGAAATTGATTATGGAACGTTTTATTTTAACATGATGAATATAATATTTTAAGACAAGGTGTTCAAATATTTTCCAAATTATTTCATATATATATATATGCTATCAGATTGATCTAATTTCTGTCCGCTGAGGACAAGCAAGTCCTAGGTTACAAACTGAACTCTCCAATGCAAGAATAAGATGCATTTCTTCCTTTAGGAGGTGTTATTGTCAGAAGAAAATAAAAAGGTGTGCTGGTTTCTGGTTGGCTGTGCCTCTGGCATTCGGGCAAAATGGAATCCTCCCACTGAAAATATTAAAAACCCGCAGCAGGTAAGGAGGTTTTCTGACAACAGATGGGTGGAAAAGTCTTTGGCCTTTAGACAAAATGGAACAACTTGACCAATTTAAAACAACAGCTAATTAAGGTTGGGAGTTCATGACAGAAGTCATTCTGTCCCAGCCTGTGAGACAGAGTAGGTATTTGGCTCCAGCCTTGTGCTGTTATCTTTTTTCTGCTTCTGCTCCTAAAGTTACCTTTTTGTGTCTGCTATCAGACCTTGAGGTTCTAGTGAAATAACAGAGTAGATCCCAGAAACCTGAAGTCTGTCCTTCCCCTGTCCCCCCCCCCCCAGGCCAGGGTACTGCTCCTCCATGAAGTCCCCTAAATGTCCCCCCCCCAAATGGCCTTGAGCCTTGCTACCTCTCTGCCTAACTTGTCTGTGTAGAACTATAAGGATGCTAATAGTAGGGATGGGCCCAAACCTTAAAAAGTTGTTTCAGGGTTTGGGGCGGCCTCTAAACTGAACTTCAAGCTGAGCCAAAAAGCCCCAAACCAGCAAGTTCGGTTCCCCCTTTTCTCCCGGCTGTGGTGAGCTGTACCCAGGAGAAGGGGGGGGGATTGCCTGGGAAGTGGGGGGGGGGGGCAAAACCGAGGGGTTTAATGACTCGCAGCCATTTAAACCTAACAATGGGGTGGGTGCTCGTGAGCCGGTTTGTGCCCATCCCTATCTGATAGTTTAATCCTATGTTTATTCCTCGAAGACCCTTGGGAAAAAGTTATATATATGCATGCCTTTAGGAAATGTTTTATTAAAATATTCATAGTCTGCTTTTCCTTGCATAGTTCGTCCTGGTTTAAAAATTCTGTCATATAGTATGGGGTGATTTTTGGGAGAAGTTCTGTGAGGAATGTCGTAAGGAGACAAAAGTTGCTTGCATCTGTGCTCATCCAAAATCCAAAGGCAGAACACAGTCCATATAATACCTTTTACTATGACAAACCAAAATGGCACAACAAAATATGCAGGCTTTGGCGTTCACAGGAACTCTTCACCAGGCTGGATATTACAAAAAAAAGAAGTGTGTGCGGGTGGGGTAGGAGGATGTTGTCAGGCCATAATTTTATGGCCTCCTGTTTCTACCATTTCTATGCTTAATGCTGAGCAGGCATGTAGATTTGAACTGTTGGGATAAGGTTGCACCCTGGCTTCTGTGAGTGACGAAAGACAAATGGTACCTCTCCACTGAAATTACCAAGGCCAGCAATTTCCCTTGTATCTCTCTGACCCCAAGGAAGACTCCCGGATCTCTAGTAGGCTGAGAGCAAATGAATTACTTTGTGGTAATTGTATTAACAACATTGGATAGAAATGTAAGGTGATGCATGAGTTGTAAATTTAGTGGAAGCCAAAATGGGTAGTTGTGATCTCATGTTGTGGGTAAATTCTCATACATACAGTCTCCTCCTAGTTCCATTCTCTTCCAGTTGATAAATTGTTCTGGTGAACTCCGAAGTTTGCACACTGTTTTGAGTCACGTTGGTTGGTCCTAATAGAAGTTACAATGTGGCTTGTGCTCTGTGAGAGTTAGCCTGGCAACAGAACAGAAAGGAGTTGGTTAACTTTAGGGGAGGAGTGGGTGAAGGGAGAGAGCCAAGGTGCTTTTCTTTGGCAGTGCTGGGGAAACCTTAAGAAGTACAGTTGTTCCAGAGGAGAAGATGACCTATGGAGCAGTTCAAAAGCTGACTGGCAGAAAAATATCCTCTTTTCTGGTGTGGACTAGGGGTGTGCGACCCGGCCCCCCCCCCCAGTATTTTTGGGGTTCGGGTATATTGGACCCAAAGAATATTGGTATTTCCTGGTATTCCCAAATCTCAATACTGGTATAGTATTTAGATTTGGTGAATATTCGGGATTGCCATATTTTTTCAGCTGTATTATACCCTATGGGGACTGTTATTGTCAATGGTCCCCATACGGTATATATAATGGAGAATCAATCCAGGGGTATCTGGGGCTCTGTGGGAGCTGTTTTTTGAGGTTGGGGCACAAAATCGGCAGCATAGCTGCTGGTGCGTCTCCTCAAAAGAACCCCTCAAGTTTAAAAAAGATTGGGCTAGCAGGTCCAGTCCCATTCTCCATGGTTTTCAATGGAGGGGGGAAGGCCTTTTAAGGGAACACAGTCTCTTGAAATGCCTTTTGCAAGCTGCAGCTGAACTCTGAAGGCATTTAAAGGGCTCATGGTCCCTTTAAATGCCTTCTTCAGGCCACGGCTTCCCCTGGAAGGTGATTAAAGGGACGGCAGTCCCTTTAAACACCCTTTTATGCCAGCTATTTGGCAGCCCTGAAAAAAATCCCAAATCTTTTCGGGATTTTTTCAGGCTCAGTTGTATTGAATAGCTGGCTAAATACCATGGCTGAAAGAATACCCAAAAAATACCGGTAAGGTATTTTGGGGGTGTTTTTTGGCTTGGATAAACTGAATGCACACCCCTAGTGTGGATTTCTTATTCTTCGGTGCTTGTGGGACTCCTGCTGTGAGGAAATGTTGCTTCACTGGGTCTTTAAGAAGGGAGACCTCTGAAGGCATCTTCCCTCAACGTTGACTCTATGTGGACCTTTCCTACCTGCCCCCATCCAGAGAAAGCATCTAGGTCATTCTGGAGTTTGTTGCCACAGAGTTGTACCTTTTCTGAAAGATACTTTTCATTGTCCATAGATTCACTCAGATGTTTCAGGGACAGCATCCCACAATTCACAAAATTTGCTGTAGAGGTGGCTAGCATCATCCTCTTGACTAAGTTTGTGGATGTTGTTGCATCTGTTGAGAACAAAAAGTGTGACCTGCTGGCGCTGAACAAAACTTCATATGCATTTTTCCCTTGAAGCTTAGATAAGGAATAGAGAAAATGCCACATCTCATTTCTGTTGCCTTCAAAGTATGTACAAGAAAGAAAGGATTACATGATGGAGGCATTCAGAAGCTGATTATGCAAAATGCTTTCCTTTGGCTGGTGGGCTTGTTATTCCCGTAATTCTAAACAATGTGATGCAGTTTTTTCTGCCACATTTCAATGAGAGTCTGTTAATATTTACTTTGAATGGCTGTTTGCTGAATGCATTTAATATTCTGAAACAGTGCTGAAGTGCTGAAATAGTGTGGTGAAGTCAATGCATGACCCCCTCCCATCCATATAGCTTTCAGTCTTAACTGCGCTGTTTATATGGATAGCTGTGCCGTTTACATGGTCGAAGGGCGGAAAGTTCCAATCTGAAACTGGAAGATTTTAGTTTGGATCCAACCCATTTCTCCAATTGAAACTATCTTGTGCTGCTGCTAGCCTAGAAAACTATGTGGAACTTCCCTAACAATATGTCATCTTGTCTGAGGTGATTCCATGTTGCAGGAGAAAACACAATTCTCTTCAGATTTCCTCTCTACTAATTTTCTTGTTTTACGGTAATTTTTTTTAGAAACAGGCTGCCTTAAACTTGTGGAAGGCCACTAAGAAATAGGAGGTCCCTGTTATCAAGAATGTTGTTATTCAGACCTCTGATTATTGGAAACGATGTATCATTATCTGTGTTATTTAAATTTTACTTTAAGAAATGTTAGCTATGAAGGAAGAGGCTTCCAACATTCTGCTGTCTAGTGGTGGGAAAAGGCAATGTTTGCAGTGGCCCAGAGACTTAATCAGTAAAGCTGGGTTGAAAGTAGACATGGCCACTGTAGCCCTGACCTGGCTAGCCCAATCCTGTCAGATCTCAGAAACTAAGCAGGGTTGGCCTTGCCTAGTATTTGGAAGGGCGACCTCCAAGGAATACCAGGGTTCTGAGTGGCTGGTAATGGCAAACCACCTCTGAAATGTCTCTTGCCTTAAAAACAAGTCTAGCTTGCCACCTAGTGCTGCATAACGCTAAAGAGTTAGAACTTTGGGCTGCCAGACAATCTTAGGATCTGGCTATTCTACACACAATGCCATATAATAATTAATGAATTTTAATGGCCCCTATATAAGCATTGACCTCATTCATATATAACTTGTGGGGTGGAGGATATCTTACCTTAACAGTAAAAAAGATGAAGCACTTTCTGCTCTGTAGTTGCTTGCTGTGGGCACTATTCTGGCTTCTCATCATAAACCAGCATAAGCTTGTGTGAGCTTCACCCTACTTCATCAAATGTAGTAAACTGCATCTTCAGTCAGTGAGAGGAAACAGAGGAAAGGGGGAAAATGTGAACCATTGAGTAACAGGCCTGGTTTATGACATCTCTAGGCAAAACAAAGTATGCCATAGTCATTCACAGGAAATGCAACTGCTGATGCCATAGTTATGTTAGCAATTTCACTCCATTAGGAACTGAACACATTAACTGGACCTGTTGAGCCCCTGATCAGTGCTGTCAAACTTATGGGTATCTTATCCAGCACTTTCAATTATGCATTTTAAGTTGTACTAAATTTGAATTTTGTGAAATTATGCACTTAAGTTGCATTGTTTTTAGTTTTACATGTGTAAGTGCTCTTAGTAGTTTCAGGGGACAGACATAGGATTGGATCCAAAGATGCCATATGTGAGTGAAAGTCAGTTCCATTCATGCAAAGGGGGGAGTCCTTAGACCTGCACACATGACCCCACTGTGCACTGACTGAACATGTGGAGACATGACAGCGGGCATAAGTGTGCTTGCCCTGTTTCCATGTGACTGCCGGCTTATGAGCACTTAACCTGCACTCAGTGGCAGTATCCATGCATAAGCTCCTTCTCTGTGATCGGCAACATTTGGAAAGTAGCACTGCTGATCATGACCATGCATGTGCACCATACTCACGAATTGGTGATCACACAGAGCAAGAACAGCCCATTCATGTTCGTTCTCCCTCTGTGCATGTCCAGTCAATGCATGGAGGGGTTCAGTGTATAGGGCTTCTGTTTCCTGCAGTTCCCATGTGGTATCCAATGTCATATCGACCATCCTCTGACTTTCAGAATTAGCTTTCTTTCTAGAGAAGAGGAGAAGATGATGATGATGATTGGATTTATACCCCACCCTTCACTTTCCCTTCCTCTCCCCACAATGGAGACCCTGTGAGGTAGGTGAGGCTCTTTCCACAGCTGTCCTTGAGAAAACAGCTTTGCCAGAACTACGGCTTGCCCAAGGTCATCCATCAGGTGCAGGTGGAGGAATGGAGAATCAAACCCAGTTCTCCCAGATTAGAATCCACGCACTTAACCACTACACCAAACTGGCGAGGGGAATGATCCGAAGCAGAAAGTTCACAAGTCTTGTGCAGTGACCGGAGTATCTGCTGTGCCTGTGATCCTTAAGATCCATTCTATAATAACTTGGATTGTGTGTACAAAATCAGTATATAAAAAGAGTCTTGTGGTACATCGATGTATTTATTGTACATAAGCTTTTGTGGTCTAGAACTCAAAGCAGGTGCATGAAGTGAATTCTCAGTCAGCAGGTATATAGATAAATGGAGAAGGGGAAACTATGAACAGTGGGTTAAAAGTCCATGCAAATCAACTGTATAGTTTTTACCGTTTTTGTGCTAAAATCAAGAAGCATATTAAATAAAACTAATGCACAAACTGGTTTTAGTTAAGAATCCAATATATTTGTGATGTGGCTCCATGTGGTGAGTGGTGAGTTATTCGTCTTGGAAATTAGAAAATATTCAGGGTTATTTTAATTATGCATTTATTCTGTCTGTATTCATGTTTCAGAAGTTACACCTAAGCTGAAGAAGGAAGCCTAACTGTTCAACAAAATATTCTTCTTCTCTATTATCAGCTTTCATTTGGAGATGACATACAGAATCCAGTCTGTTCAGCCATGAGCATCATAGTCTGCTGACCAGGGTCATTGTGCTTCTCTTCTTGCAACGGCTTAGAGTAGAGCTATCATGGTAAAATACTGTGCAGCATATAACTGCAGCAATTCAGACACAATGTTAAATCGCAAACAGGGAATAACTTTTCATAGGTGAGTGTGAACGTCCTGGGCACCTGCATGGCATAAGTTTGTACCTCACCATGAAGATGAATGTGTTGGAGCAGCATGTTGCACAGAATGTCTGAAAATTCAACTGTAGTTCACCCCAAATGTTCTTATTCCTCCCCCCCTTCCATGTTTTGACCTTTAAACCCTACGTGGCTTGGGACTGTCTTCTGTCATATGTCCCTGCTTGGGACCTAAGATCAGAGAGAGAGAGAGAGAGGCCTCTTCACTGACCCACTGACTGGTGGGTACATGAGAGAGGGCCTTTTCAGTAGCAGCCCCATGATTATGGAACAACCTTCCTAGGGAGGTGTGCCTGGCCCCCCCTCACTTGTGACCTTTATAAGGCAGCTGAAGACGGTTTTCTTCATGACGGTATTTGATCAGTTCTTCTGCTTACCATCAGCTTTAAATAAATTTAGGGGAAAGAAAACTGCTATGGCTCATGTGCTCCGAATTGTGCAAGAATGTGTATTGGAATTATATAAACAAAAATATGTGGTATTTGATTTTGAAATTTTGTTTTGGACTATGAATTTTGTGCAGCCAAGAATAGGGGAGGGCCCTGTTCGCTAGGAACAATGTGGAAGGATTCCTGGGAAGAACATAACTGCTAGAATGAAAAACCCACAAAAAGGACCTGTGAATAGAAATTCCCCAGAATACCCTATCTATTCCTCTGGTGGCTCTTTCTTGAAAAAATCCAAAAGACCTTTAATTGAAACTTGACATTTTATACAGGGAAGTTCATGGATGGTATTCCAAGGTGATCCCATAGAGGCAAACTTTACATTGAGACTAGCTGTAAAAGAATAAAAAAAACCACTATTGCAATTGTTCTCCTGAACAGAATTATACCCTACTAAGCCCATTAACTTCAATGGACATAGAAGGGTGAAACTCTGCTTAGGATTGCACTTGAGGTTGTTAACTATTTATTAAAGTTCTGAGCTTACCCCTCTGTAATCCTACATGCATTCCTGGAAATGCATCATTAGGTTTTCTGACTCTAAATGTTTAAAATGAGGAAGAGATGTTTGAATCTGATACATAAAAAGTGGATAGGCGCATTTTGTGCATCATGCTCAGTAAACAATTGTATTCGCTTTACAAATGGCAAAGTTGCTGCTCCATGATTAAGGACTCTGAATTCCAGTTTGGTGACCTGGGGTTTGGATCCACTGGTCTCTCGCAGTGCCCATTGATTTCACTGTATTTAGAAAGTTGGAACACTGCTTAGGATGGCACAGTTACTGACCCAAATTTAGTAGGCACTTGGAAATTGACACTGGTAACCACATGATATGCTTTATTAACTCTCTTGGGCCTGTTTTCGATCTGGTACAGCAACCTCTTTGTGATCTTACTTTTTCTTCTCATAGGTTTCCAAAGGATAACAGAAGGAAGCAAGAGTGGGCCCAGGCACTATGTCGTGTGGACCCTGTGAGTGGCAATCTTTGGACTCCATCTGTATGGGACATGATATGTTCCCAGCATTTCAATCCTGAATGTTTTCGGGAAATCAATGGGAAAAAGTTTCTTAAGGAAGGAAGTTGTCCTTCTGTTTTTTCGTTTCCTGATGACTGTAAGGTATGAAATGGTCTGGTAACCTAGCTGCATTGTACATAACTGACTTCTTATCAGTTTTAAGAAAGCTCATTATGCTCAGCTTTCGTGGAGTTTAGAAAGTCACATTTCATATTGCACTAAAAACTGTTGCAGAGGCATACAGTATACGCAGTGTAAGCAGCCTTTCCCTTAATTTCACGCATTGATGTAAAGCCACCTTCTACACACCATCCATATGCATGCTTTTACAAACTGCCCAATGCTTTTGAGTAAGTTTGATACTGTAGCAGCCAAAGGCTAGTGCCAGCCAGTTATAAACTATAGCACATTTATAAACTAAGCCCCATTTATGCAGACTAGTGGGCAGAGAATGGGCTGACTGAGATAATTTACCTGTAGTTGTCAAGGACTCAACTTGAGACCTTTTGCAAGCAAAAGATGCTCTGCCACCAAGCTATGGACCCTTCCCACTATTTCAGCAGAGGCAGAGATTCCATAACCACCTTACAGTTTGTTCCATCACCTAATTTAGGGACTTTTTCCTGGTATCATCTTATTCGATGTGCTTTGAACCAGAATTATTTTGGATCCCCCATCTCCTATCCAGTCACTTTTTTCACTGTCCAACTTATTTATTTAGATATTTATATCCTGTTTTTCTTCCCAGTGGGAACTCATGGTCCATTTTATCCTTACAACAACCACCCTGTGAAGTAGGTTAGGCTGAGAGTGTGTGACTGGCCCAAGATCACCCAGTGAACTTCTGTGGCAGAGTGAGGATTGAAATCTGGGTCCCCCAGATCATAGTCCAGTAGTCTAAAAGACCAAAAAGATGGTATTCATATATTTATGAATTTGATAGGTATTTGCTGTATGCACATCATGCCCTAACCTGGGTAGCCCAGGCTAGCCTGATTTCATCAGATCTCAGAAGGTAAGCAGGGTCAGCCCTGGTCAATATTTGGATAAGAGTCCATCAAGGAATACCAGAGTTGCAACACAAGGGCAGGCAATGCCACACCACATAAGAACATAAGAGAAGCCAATGTTGGAACAGGCCAATGGCCCATCCAGTCCAACACTCTGTCACACAGTGGCCAAAAATACCAGGTGCCATCAGGAGGTCCACCAGTGGGGCCAGGACACTAGAAGCCCTTCCACTGTTGCCCCCCCCCCCAGCACCAAGAATACAGAGCATCACTTGCCCCAGAGTTCCTATCTATACCTTGTGGCTAACAGCCACTGATGTATCTCTGCTCCATCAATTATGGGCCAATGAGGAGGGCTGGAATGATGGTGAACTGGCAAGTCAGTCTTGGACATTCAGAGGTCTAAGATCTTCTGTGGACTGTATTGTAAGTACATTGTCACCATTCCCTTGGTTACACTATCTAGGATCAACTCTGCTTCTGACACAGGCCTCTATTATATCACAGCTTTATAAAAGCTTGGCTAGAAAGTATAACTGCATTTTGCTTCAGAACATTAACAAATCTTATTCTTTATTCTTACTCTTTCAATATATAACAGATATTTATATGATTCAAATACATTTGGAAAACACTTATAGAATAACAGAGTTCTTCTCCACAGGATATGGAAACATTAAAACAATTTATTCATGCAAATTGTGAAAAATAAAAATAATACATGTCAGATGCCAGCACTGTTTTCATGTTAAATCATAAACTTGCCAAAGCCGAGAGTACAAACAAATATTATTTAGTTTACCTGCAATGTGTACACTTAACTAGAGATTTTTTCTGCTTCATATAGAAAATGAAGTCTCCCCCAGTAACCCCTGATCTATGCATAGAAAAACCTCTAGGATCCCTGGCCAATCTGCCCTGGAGGAAAATTCCTTCCAGGCCCAAAGTGATGATTGACATTACCTTGGACCTGTAACAAAGAACCATGAGAGCCGAGATTTTTGGCCCCAGTGTGCATCACTTTGCACTTGGCCGCACTGAACCCCATTTGCCACACTAATGCCCTCTGAGTATCTCTTGCCTTGAAAAACCTATGGAATTGCACGTTTGCTGCAACTTAACGGCAAAACAAAACATTTCTTTGCTCTATGCTTACAGACGTGTGCGGTAATGCATCAGGGCCCACCTGTAGTGTTTACAGTTCCTCCAGGGTTTTTTTTAGCCACCAGTTAATTTGAAAAACAAACTTCCTTTCCTTTCCCTGTACCGAAGAAGGTAATGAAGGTGATGAATGAGATCCAGGACAGTCTGGTTCATCATAGAACACCATATATTCCGTCCTTCCTTTTTATTACTGTTGGTGGTCTTTGTTCAGGACTCCTGGCTAAAGTGGAAATGCTGCTTGAGGCCCTGGGAATAAGATGTTAGGCAGTTTACTCTGCCGGTTCTGCTTTTAGCCTGGTAGGAGCACCACACAGAAGGGTGAATGTGTGAGGTGGCTCCGCCTCTTGCGAATTCTGTTGCTCCTGCATGTTAATATGTTTACTTCCTATGCATCCCATTCAAACAGCAGAAGTTCAGGAAAGTATCCTGTGATGCTGCTTCATTCTTAGTGACCCCTGATAAAGCTGCAAAATGTGTTATTTAGAGCAGCTTTCCCCCATGTTGCTTGAAAAAGCTTCAGAAGTATTGATTTAATTATTGCTCTGAGCTAACCAACATCTGATCCCTGGTAGGTTTTAGTTACTGCTCACCAGAGGTCATTTCGGGGGGGATCGCGGGGGATCGCTGTTCCCCCGGGTGAGGTACGAGGGGCGGGGCACATGACGAAGCCCCGCCCCCTGCTTCCGGTCGCCCCGCTTCCGGCCCTCATTCAGCCAGGAGGAGGCAGAAGAGGGAGGGTAAGTTGCTTCCTCCCTGCCTCTCCTCACCCCTGCCTGCCTGGGGCCAGGGAGGGCCTTCGCGGGGCTTCCTTGCACTCCCGCCGGCCTTGCAGGTCCACCGCCGGGCCCCTCATGGGGATCAGCAGTGGAGCTGCAAGGCCGGTGGTGGCGGCCGGGACCATTGGGGGCGGGGTGTGTGGCCTTATGACACACTTCCGGTGATGTCAGGGGGTGTGGCGTTATGACACACTTCTGGTGATGTCAGGGGCTGTGGCATATGCTAATGAGTTATGCTAATGAGTTCCCCTAGCTCTTTTTCTACGAAACGACCCCTGCTGCTCACCTCTTAGTCACTGACTCGCTGTCCTTTATTTCATAGAAAATAAATACTCCAAAGAAAACAAGAAAGAACGCCAAATGTGTGGGAGCATTTGATGTCCCTCTTTTTCAGGCAGAGTCCAGTCACAATGGGGCATGTAGTGAGCAAACAACACCAATGGTAAGCAAAATACCTGCGTTGGAGCTGGAGATGAGAAGGCCTCATTGTACTTATAGTTTCAAAGGGTAGCCATGTTGACATGCAGTAGAAGAGCTGGATTTGAGTCCTGTAGCACCTTACAGATCAACAAGATTTTAAGAGTCAAAGCTTTGACTCTTGAAAGCTTATACTACCAAATTCTTGTTGGTCTCTGAGGTGGTACAGGACTTGAATCTAGCTGTTTATTGTACTTATATAGTTACACTCTTTTGTAGCTATTTGTTAAACCATTATTTTAATGGATTATTGAACTGCTCTGTAAACTCTCCTTCAAGCTGCTCTCATTGCGGTCATTAATATGTGTTGAGTATAAGGAAGAACATAATCCTAAAGGTCTATATGTATAATAGCCTCTTGGAAGACAATTGGATGCAAAATTCCCACTGATATTAATGTATGTGGACTGCAGCAGTGTGTGCCTCTGCGGAATTGATAGTAAGCTGATGGCTGTGTACAGAGGAATACTGAAGAGAGCATTGGAGTAGAAATATTTTAAGCTGAATTCCATGCATGAAGACTGCCCCTCATTTTTTTTAACTACTTGTCTAAAGGACATCCAATTACTGTTTGTCACAGTCTGTCTCAAAAGAGCTGTGGCCATGATTTTAGTGCCTATTCAAGTCTGTGGTCGTTTTTCATGTTGTGTCTGAGAGACAGGGGTGTGCTCTTGGGAGTCAGACCCAAGCCAGAAAGCATAATAATATTGGAGCAATAATGCAATGTCCTAGGAACAAGATTCATGCACTCTGCATGACTTTTTTGAGGGGCGTGTTGTGTGCGTGTCATAGCTGCAACATTCCTCAGATCACAGATACAACTTTCCAACTGTGTATCAATATATTTTGGCTGTGTTAAAAGCAGCCACATTCTTCAAGTAGGAAGAATGTTTATTCACCAAAACTCAGCAGAGCATTCATAGGGAGGTTCCTTTTTCCATGAAGGATTTAATTTGTGCTGCTTTTTTTTTTTGGCAGATCTTGAGTAACAGATCACAAGATTCACTTGAGAACATCAGTGTGGGTGAAGTGGAGCAATGTAGCTTTTCTCTAGAAATAAACCCTACTGCAGAATGTAATGCAACGGACAGGCTTATGGTAAGCATATAAACAGTAACTGTCAAAAAGTGTTGCATAGATTTTTCTGAGAACAATGACGTCTTAATAACACTTTCCTGGGACTAAGCTCCATTAAACAAACCTGAGTAGGATTCCAACTAGACCTGCTTAGAATTGATCTTTAAAGGCTGAATGCAGAAAGTAAACAGTTGCTTGAAGGGAAAAAGTATAGTCCAGTCCTAAAATCTACCATGCAGGGTTAAATCTTTCATGAAGGCTGAAGAAAGTGCAATTATATCGGAGTGCTGAAGCATGGTATCGAACATGAGTTTAGACAGAATGGAAGTGCTAAGATCTGAATGTTAATTTGATTTGTACATAGCAATTTGTAAATGTGGAAATATAAAAGCATTTTCAGTTATCTGCACATCTCTGCCAATAAGGCCTGGAGCATCTGACTGGATCTACTGTCTCCCCTTGCGCTTGGAAAATAATAATTTTCTTCAGCTGTTACCGCAAAGTTATGGCTTTGAATAGAAGCCATACATAAAAATCTTTTAGTCCTGTTCCCAGTGACAGGTGCCTGCTTTTTTATAACTTGCTCCTCAGCAGAATAGCTCCAGAAAGTATCTTGATCAAGGCAAGTACTCTAGAACTGTACTCTAACAAAACTGTAAAAGATGTGTGGAGCTATGTTTTAATTTCATATGAAAACTAAGTGTGACCATGTTAATTATCCTAGACCTCTAGGTGGCTTTTGATAACATTGATTATGGTGTTCTTCTGGACTGCCTTTCAGGGTTAGGACTGGGAGGCATTGTTTTGTGGTGGTTTTGGTCCTACCTCAAAGGTAGGTTTCAGAGTGTGGTGCTGGGGGACTGCTCTGTCCCTTGGCATTTGGCCTATGGGGTCCTGCAAAGTTCTGTCTTGTCCCCCATGCCTTTCAACATCTGTGTGGGCATGAATTGCCACCAGTATGTGGATGACACTAAGCTGCATCTTGTGCCTCCAGCAGATCCCAGAAAGGCTGTGGAAACTGTGAACAGGTTTCTTGAGGCAGTTTTAGAATCGAATTAATCCCAATGAAACGGAGGTTCTATTGGTGGGGGAAGGTTTGACCAAAAATTGGCTGTCTCCTGTTCTGTATGGGATAGCTTTTGGGTACTGCTGGAACTAGATCTCCTGTTGGATAAACAGTTGGCAGTGGTGGTCTGGGATGCCTTTCACCAGCTTTGGCTAGTGAGACAAGTGTAGACCTTCCTGGGTGGGAAAGACCTTGCCACTGGGTGCATGCCCTGGTAACATTTAGATTAGATTACTGCAATGCACTTTATGTGGGGCTGCCTTTGAAGACTATCTGGAAGCTACAGCTGGTACAGAATGCTGTGGCCAGAAAGTTGACTGGAGTGGGTCATAGGGACCATATCACTCTAGTTTTATGCCTTCTAAAATTGGCTCCCAGTTTGTTTTCAGGCCCAGTTAAAGGTTCTGGAATTGTCCTTTAAAGCCCTATACGTCTTGCGACTAGCATACCTTAAGGACTGCCTTCTCTCATATGAACCTACCCATCTGTTCTGATTATTTTCAAAGGCCCTGCCAACTGAGGCAAGACAGGTGGTAACCTGGGAAAGGGCCTTCTGGGTTCAAGAACTCTGAGACTCCCTCCCCAGGGACAGTCATCTGTTTCCCTCTATCGTTGTCTTCTGCCAGTGGTTGAAGACTTCTTTATTTTATTTGGCATACCAAAGACTTCTTTGTTTTATTTGGTAACTGTTATTGGCCCTCCTCCCTGTTTGTGGTGTTATACATGTTAATGTGTTTATTTGTTTCTACTGGATTGTTTATTTTATATCTACTATAATTTAAATGCTGTTTTAATGTCTCAAATGTTTTACTGTTGAAATTTGCTGCCGTGGGGACTCTTATTTGGGTGGAAAGGTGACATAGAAGTGTTTTAAATACAGTAGCCAGTAGCAGAATTTTGCATATATTATTTGCTATATTGATTAGTTAAATTCTGTATTTGAGACAGAAATGGATGAAGCGGCCTTTTTAAACCTGTCTTGGCTGTCCTTCATTTCTCAAGGCAGCTCGTACAAGTTATATTTTATGTACAGTTTTTGTATACCATCATTTTTTTCAAGTTCTCAGTGGTTTTAGAGCAATGACTAAAAATATCAAAATATTCCAAGCCATAAACACTAAAAAGTTGAAGACAGTAGTCTAGTCTTCTAGCTTCCACCTTGCAACAGCTACAGCTTTAACGATCGGAGGACCGTAAGCTGCAGGCCTCGTGCCAGTAGAGATTGAAGGGCCCATCCTCTACAGCAACCCTTCACCCTTCTGTGCAGCCTCTTCATTCTCATCCCAGCACCCAAGTAGGACAAGAGCAGCTGTGGAACAAACAAAACAAAAACAAAGCAGGCCAGAGTGGGATGGTAGTGGTTTTACTCCCATTTCTCTGCAACCAGCTTGCTTTTATTGATTGATTTTATTTATTAAAACATATACCCCACCTTTCCTCATGGTTCAAGGTGGCCTCCAGGGGCGTTGGCATTCTCTGACCTGGGCTGGTGTGCCTCACACTGAGAGGTGAGAAGGCAGAGGGGGAAACCATTACTCTCATTGTAGATACACAAGGGCTGTAGGGGAGAGACAATCCTACATGCTCAGAAGTGATCTGGTAATTAAGAAGATCATAATTATATTTTAAATATATCTTATATTATTGTATATGTATGTCTGATGAACTGGCATGCAGGGCCTACAGTAGTCATGTAGTTCTTTTGGCTGATTTGATCATAGAAGTGGATGCAGGAAGGAGATGATTGGAGTGAAGATGCTCCCAGAGATATTTGAGATCCAGAAAGTCTAGGGCTTTAAAGGTTCAAATCACACCTTGCATTTGAACCACATGATCTGTCAAGAATAAAAGCAAATATTAACTGTGATGAAGGGAAACATCTTGTTTAATATTGCTGTTGTTTTTACAATGCACCATCTCTTTTAGACTGAGCACCATTACCATATCACAGATAGCCCCAAAACTTTGAAAAGGAAGCTGGATGAACTATTAATGGAGAATGACAAGCTGAGAAGAAGATTGAGGAACACACCTCTTGAAGAACAGATACTCCATAAAAATGTGGATGTTTCACAGGACAGCAAGCATTCCAAGTCTGTGTTGAGGGAAACGACCACGATGACCTTAGACAATGGAGGGTGTTCTTACCCCCAGGAAACTTCTGTCGGCTGCTTACATTAATGGAATACTACCCATTACTTCTGTGTATCTACTTACTTTCATATGACCAAATTTAGCTACTCAGTAAAAAGGTAAAGGTAAAGGTTCCCTTGCTCGAAAGCCAGTCGAATCCGACTCTAGGGTTGCGGTGCTCATCTCCGTTTCAAAGCCAAAGAACCAGCGCTGTCCGAAGACATTTCTGTGGTCATGTGGCCGGCATGACTAAACACCAAGGCTCACGGAACGCTGTTACCTTCCCACCAAAGTGGCACCTATTTATCTACTTGCAATTTCTTGCTTTCGAACTGCTAGGTTGGCAGGAGCTGGAACTAGAGATGGGAGCTCACTCCATCATGCGGCACCCGGGTCTCGAACTGCTGAACTACTGACCTTCCACAGCCTGCAGTTCAGCGTCTTAACCACTTGAGCCATGGCAACTCCTCAGTAGTCTTTTCTAAACTTCTCAGTCACTTAAATTGCTGGACCTAAGTGTGCTCAACTCAACTATCAAGTAGTGCTCTGATGTAGCAAGATTGTTGTTTACCACGCCAACCATAAGTATTCTGAAAAGTTCAATAGAAACAATTCACAGTATTCTGATTGCCTGCATTTCCTGTGACTTAAATACTACATATTCTTACATGATGTTGCATAGGCAGGCATGCAGTTAATATTACACGTTTTTTCCAGACTTTTCAGTTCTAGGCTGCCTGCATAAAGTGCAGCAACATTTGCTAGCATTTTATTGCAGTTGCCACATTAACAGATTTGGTTTGAAAGTTTTATTCTTTTCCCTCCTTCACATAATTTTAAACTGATTTATGAATAGAAGTTTAGCCATAGTGAAAACTTTCCAGTATAAAAAGGGCATTTATTATGTCAGTAGATACAATGGGTTGAAATTGCATAGTGTGAAACACTGGAGTTTATTTGGCTCAATTGTGAAGGCTGTTGTTGCATATTTCTGTTCTTGAATGGATCTGAGTGCATTCTAATCCAGTGTGTTTAGACGTATTTCTAGTACTGTGTAGTGATTTCTGAGTGATAGCTAAAGTAGATGTAATTCCAAGTCTGAAAACTAGTTACTGGTATCGGACTAACAAGACAAGACAGACTCGAAATCACTTCAGATTTATTATTGATCGCATTACTCAAAAGGTTTTGAACTTCATTGATTCTTTTATACAGCCCACTATCAGCTTCTCTTTGTGTCAGAAGTCTGAGAATGGATTCAGATAATGTAGTCAATATGGCCACTTTCAAACCTGATGGACAAAAAGGCTTTGTGGCTTGAACAGGAACAGCAAGTCCAGGACATGGATGGGGTAAAACTGCCTTCAGAAGCAACTGCTTTATGCTGGGTGGTAGAAGCTGCAAGATGGCGTGCAAGGGCTTACTACCAGGGTGTTGGATCCAGCCAACTTTATCTCCTCATCTTACCCAGTTCCCGTTTCACATCTGCTCTGGTCTGTATAAGTCCTGTGATACCCAGCACTGACTTGTTGGTGGTCCAAGGGGACCAACCCTCTTCTCCCTTTTTCACCAGTGGGAAAACCAATTGGATCTAACTTGGCTGGTTTGCATAGAAAAACTAAACATACGGTCAAGTCTATGAAGCTAAGGCTGCCAGAAGTGGGAGGTGAACTTGTATGTGTGGGGGATATGCAACACCTCCACACACACACACACACTAGCATTCATCTATATAAAGCTGTTTTATACTGAGTGAGACCATTGATCCCTATAATGCAGTATTGTCGACTGCGACTGGCATGTCACTCAAGGGTCTTGGGTAGAGGGGACTGGCACTAGACATTACATAAATGTCACATACAGGCCAGGCACAGAAGGATAAAAAATAAACAGCATCTTTCCTGGAAGCAATAGCCCTTCCAATATTTTGCTGCACACAGTGGCAGGAGGCTTCAAGATAGTGGAAACTCAATTCTTGGCTGCAGTATTTATGGATGAGCTTTTGCCAGTGACCACAGGAACCAGTGCAGTATATTTCTGTGGTGCTTTCAGCTATTTCTACATGCGTTAGGCATGCACAGGCATCCCCGTCCTGTAGGATATAGTCTGTTATAGTATCTCCTGCTTGGCATTTTGGTAATATTATCTGACTGCCCTGATGCCAGTTGCACTGCTCTTCCTGACCCTTTTTGCTAATATTCTTCATTATACAAGGTAGCTTGCAGACTGTCTTTTCCTTAGCTTATCTCTTGCTGTCTCTGATCTCTCTCAGCATTCCACAGCATGTGTAATGCAATCTAGCCTGGGCAGTAACTTTAAATGCAGGGCACAGAATGATCCAGGAACTGCAGAATGAATATTGGACTGGTTGCAAGGACAGACTGCCAAGAGAAATCCTGGAAAGGAACAGCTAGGACCATGTCAAGCATAAAGACAACCCACTAATAAACTCATGCTGGCACTTGAAAAATTGTGCAGTCTATTATCTTAAAATTCATAGCATGGAAGGCCTTTCAGTGAGGCTGCAGTAAAAGATCAAGGAATGAGGAGGGATTTGTTTCAAAAGGGGTTGTATATGCACAGCTGTTTGTATAATGCACGTAAGTTTATCAGATGAGAATTTCAAATGTACAGCACTTTGAACAGATGTAATGCTTTCAGTAAAGAATGACAACTTCTAATTCAGAATATTGGCACCAATAAGTAAAGGTCCAGATGTTTGTTGGAAGCAACAAAATATTCTGGTTTGGAAAATAGCAAGATCAGCCGCTTCTCATTTAATGTTGGACTCTTCTCTTGGGCACATTAACAATTTGCTTTCTGCAGATCTTTTTTGGGTTCACAACCGGATACTGGGTTTCCACTGGCAGAGGACTTTATAGGTTGGGCTGTTGCTTTCCACATGGCTTGGAGGCTGTAAAATGAATGGCATGCATGTTCTGAAAAACTGCTAGGGGAAATATCAGATTCCAGTGCTAGCAAACACATCTGCAGAGTGCTTTTGTTACTCCTTTCTACTCTACTAAGTGCTATTATTAACCCCGTAGGTCCAGGTTCAGTGAGATTTTCTTTGGTACCTCTTATTAAATTCTGTTTAAAGATCTTCAGAGATTTTTATATTAAACAAGGTAAGTCTGTTCACAACTGCTTATTCCAGGGGTGTCAAACATAAGGCCCAGGGGCCAGACTCGGCCTGCCCAGGCCTCTTACCCAGCCCGCAAACTACTGGTATGTATGGAAATGTAAGGTGCTCCCCCTTTTATAGTATCCCCGGGGGGGGGGGAACTAGTCTTGATTAAATACGTTTATTGCGGCTTTTATGTGTTCCCCAGTAAATCAATTGCTTTCACTGCTAGAAATCTATTGCTTTTGTTTGTATTTTGAGTAAAAAAATAATATTGTTTATTGGGTTTGTCAGTGTCCTTTATAAAATTTGTATCTTTAGTACCCGGAATTACATTTTATAGTGTACATGGCCTGGCCTAACAAAGTGACATTTATTTCAGATCCAGCGCTCGTAACAAATGAGTTTGACGACTCTGACTTATTCCATATTTTATTTATTTAGAAAATTTATATTCTGCTTCTTCAGAGATCTGCTCAAAGCAGCTCACAAAGTAAAAAACAATTAAATAGATGGACTCTGATTCTGAGTGATTTATGGGGAGAAGTATATCAGCTGAACAGAAATGGCTGCTCATTTTAAGTGACTAGCTTCATCTTCCTTCTGCAGAATACCCATTTTCCTTCTCCCATAAAATTGTCTCATTTATCAAAATGAAACCATTCTTGTGTGTGCGGTTAACAAAAAGTGCCTCAACAGTTCTTGTGGGTGCAATTATGGTGATAACCACCCTTTGAATAACAAGACCATAGCTTTATTAACTGATAAGATATAATACAGAGGAGCATCCAAGATACTTTGTAGGTCAATCTAATCTTGACAAAAAAGTATTTTCCTTTTTAATTATTTTTTATTTCCTTTAAAAGTTAACCAAGTATACTTTCCATACATTGTTTAAAAATGGAGTGGAGGACAGAATCTAAATACAAAAATTTACCCTGTCAGAAGTATAAACTCCTAAGGTGAGCTCAGGGAGGACAGAAGGCGAACACTCACTTGATCTTGAGAACAAGAAAACCATCCCAGTTATGCAGGTTAAGATCACCACTCTGCTATAGAAGCCCACTGGGTGACCTTGAGCTAGTCACACACACTCAGCCTAACCTACCTGACAGGCTTGTTGTGAGGATAAAATGGAGGAGAGGAGAATGATTTTAAGCTGCTTTGGGTCCCCACTGGGGAGAAAGGCAGGGTATAAATGTTCATAAATAACAAATGGAAAATGCAATTTTTCCCTTTAAACAGATGTAAGGAGTAGTTCTGTGCATTACAGCAAAATCACAAGTTCTACAGATTTTCCAGTATTTTGCAAAAAATTAAGCTAATTGAAACTAACATTTCTTGTTTCCTTAGGATTTCGTCTGTTGGCTACACCGGTATGTGAACCTTTTGGACCTAAAGTAGCACTGTACTTTATTGTGTAGATTTTTGTGTCCCACTTCGTTTAGCTTCAGTGGAAGTCCACCCATAACACAGAAAGTCTCCTCTGATTGCTATTTCCACTGTTATCACCATAGCATATAAGGAGTCAAATACAAAATAACAGATTTTCCTGTGGATCCATCTATTCTCCATGACAAAAAGAATAGTAATGTGCCTTAACAACTGTGGTTATCCCCTTAATGGACCCCTCAAGTATCAGAAAATGGCTCTATTGGAGCACACATTAGGGCTTGGAGTAGGTGACCCCCCCCCCCTGAAAAAGACCCTGAAGGGAAGAGGCACACTGGTATCTGTGTGAAAAAGAAAGCAAACTGCTAGAGATAGCTGAAGCACCTTGGGGATATAGTAACTCTCTGTATGGCTCTGATACAGGATAGCAGATCTGCTGCTCTGTAGAGGGGGCCATCATCACCTCCCTGTGTGGCTCATTTACTTTATTTAGGCCCTTCTTTCTTGCTGAGACTCAAAGCAGTTTACAAAATTTAGCAGTGCAATATGAGCAGTATAAGAGAGTCATTGCGATAAGATTGGATTATAGAGCTGGAAAACAGTGCTGTGTGTCTGTCAAGCAAATATCACAAGATTGCCCAGAGTCT